CTATTAGTACTTCTATTGGTACTGGAAGTCAGAAGTATATACTAGCTATTAGTATGTCTATTAGTACTGGAAGTCAGCATTACATACTATCTATTAGTACTGGAAGTCAGCATAATATACTAGCTAGTCTGTAGGTAATGGCTTATCATCTCAAATTAACCCGAGTTGTTTTATTAAAGCAGTACCTCTGAATACTAAAGGCAACAGTCATAAAGTTTATAAGGAAAATACAAAATGAAATTAACAGAGCAAAAAATATTCAATATGTGTAATAGCTATGAACCAAGAAAAGTGACTTTCTTGATCTTGAATCTTTACTTAGTTGTACATTCTATCCCCTGTTTGATTTTGCTGTAAAGATTGCTGTGATTACTCAATCTTTTGAACCCAACTTTGAAGGAGCTGAGCTCTGGCCTCTCTTGGAGACATGCTGACATGGAGTAAGGTGGAACCAGCCCGAGATAAGCTGGGCTCTTCACGAATCCATGACACAACCTTACATCTGAAACATACATCAAAGAAAGGCCAGAGAGCTGTCAACTTTCTTTTTATGGAAAAAGTGGCAGAACTCTTCCAATTTTACAGTGTCACATTTAAACAGATCAAGATGTCCTTATTATCTTCCAAAAATACATTTAAATTCCTATTCCAGTGTGCACAGTAACACAAAGGTGTATATAGGACTTATTGACAGCAGGTCACTTTATCCAGCTATAAGACATCAAGTGACATGAATAAACACCAACCAAATTTGTTATTTCCATACAAATATGAGACTATTGCTACAGATAACTTTAGTCTGGAGAACACCAACTTGGTTAGGTGCTCTCACCGAATCTTTACATTTAACCAAGTTTAACTTTTAAAGTGCAATTTAGAATCCATAGTGTCCAATAACAAAAATCACAGGTCTCCATGGTTAGCATCAAAGAATGACCTTAAATCTCTTACACACTTAGGAAACTGTGTGAATGATCTGGACTTAGTCAAAGCAAACGGCTAGAGGAAAGGTTTTCAGATGACAGTGTGGACCGTCTATATCAGATACCATGTATAAAAGAGATCACTCATTGGTCATCTTGCCTGTGAACTTGCATAAACTTTCATTTTATAGATTTTTACAGAACACTTAGACAAGGTGTAGACAGATGTAGTTCTCAGAGGCAGACATATACCAAGTCACATATGTTTAGGGTGTCAACTGTATTGTAATAACCTAAAATAAGTTGTTCACTAAACCAGTTATAAAATGATCATTTAAAAGATTTAAAACAGGTACAACCCTAACTTCTTTAAGACTTAGTTTCCCTAAGTAATAAAATCTAACAAATACAAGAAAATCATCTTGATGGATTAAAAAAAAAATCAATGTTTCAGTATTCACTTCATATTAGGACATTAAAATTCGAATACCTGACTGTGCTAATTATAGCCAATTTAGTAAAAAACAAACTTTTTGAGCTTTGCCTTCTGCAAACCTTCTGTGACTTACACATTCACCCCTTGTTTACATCCTTAGTTTTGTCCTCTTTCATCTTAGACTTTAGCCCAAGAACAATACTCTACCAGACAAAACACTTTCTCATCCAGAACATTTCCTTTCCCTTCTGATTTTCCATACTAGATGCATTTCCATGTCGACAGCTTTCTTTCATCTCTTTCAGGCCCAGGAGCTCTCTGAAACACATCTTCTGAAACAGTCCTTGGGAATGCTCCCTGGGCCTCCAAGCCACACGCAGACTCCCTCCGGGAGACGACTGGGCCCCAGCACAGAGAACAGCGTCCTTCATCTTTCTCTCCCACGGTCGCCTTCCAGGGCTGGAGCACAGGGTGTTCTGAGCCTGACCTGTCTCCAATGCCATCAGCTTGAGGTGAGTCCCTGCCGTCAGGGTCCCCAGAGGCTCCTGGGGCCTTGCTCTTACACTAGCCTATCAGCGTCCACTGGGGGGGTCCTTTCCGTCCTCTGAGGCTTCCTGGAGAGTCCTTTGCAGAGGCTGCCTACAAAACCCAGGTGGGCCTTGGTCTCTGCCTTTGTCTTTTCTGGGTGCAGTATTTATCTGGCCAGTCCCCCAGCGTGAGTTTGGTGGGATTCCATTATAGCAAGAATCGCTCTGCCCCCCACACCCCCGGGATGACATCCCCTGGCCAAATGGGGTCTCCTGTCAGATCGCGAAAGGGGGGACTATCCTGTACCCAGGTCATAAACGGACAGTGCCGGTACCTATTGCCACATTCTCATGGCCGCAGCCTCCGACCTCTGAGGGCAGAGGGCTGAAAGGCAACAGAGGCAGCTCTCTGTGGCCATTTATTTTTTACAGCCCGGGCAGCTTTTCCGGGGTTTTCTTTTCCAGGTGAAGGCTGGTGTCCTGGAGCAGAGTGAGACGATGGCGGCTGCCTGGGCCAGGCCGAGGAGCGTGCTGGGTGCCAGCACTGGGCTGGAGAGACGGAAGTCTTCTTGCCGTCTCTGCTGGTGCCCTGCTGACCTGGCTCACCAGAAGCTGTGCCCTTGGCCCCTTCCGCGTAGCTCTGAGGGTTCAGACCTCTGGTCCTGCAGCTGCGTCAACCTGTACAGACAGACCAACTCCAATGTCCAGACTGTAATGATCTAGAGAAGCCATTTAAAGTTCAGATTCTGCTACAGTCAGCCATCTTCCTCTCAGCCAGGACCTGTCTGCTCAAGAGACGCGTGCTCAGACCCAGGCAGCAAGGCTTAGGTCTTCAAGGGCCAGTAACAGATACAACGACCGCAGACAGAGGATCGCCTGAATCACGGCGGACGCATGGGAACCTTTAAAACAGGCCGGCCGCCAGGTACAGATTCCTTCCACTTCCACTGCCTTCGAAAACCCAGCTCCAGCTGAAAGATTGTGAAACATCCAGAAAGTTATTCAAAAGCTAGATTATCATGGTAAAACGTGATCTTAGACAAGATCCCACCTACAGACGGCTTTTGCTTCAACTTACTCTACCTCTGACAGATCAGCTCAAATTGCACAATGGTACAAAAAAGAAAGCAGAGAGGGACCGCCAGAGAGGAGCTCCCAGACCATGGCCAACGCCTGGGAGCTTTAGTTGACCAGCCAAGCTCTTCCCCAGGGACAGCCCACAGGACCGGGGCCGTACTGGCCACGTCTTAAAAGGAGCAGTGACAGATACACACAGGACAGACAACCAGAGGCTCCCCCAGCCCAAGGACAGATCAGAGGGTACAGATCCCTCGCTTCTCGAGTCCCGCTTGACTGTGACTCCGACAACAGTGGCGCCACAGATGTCCCCAGATGTGTGGAGCCTCAGCAGGCACACCAGGGGACTGACCAAATGGCCAAAGGCGTCGTGACATTCTGAGCTCAGTTTCCTTTTCCTCAAAGTGGATCATGGTGGAGCGGCAGTCCATCCTGTTGGGGGAGAGAAGGTGGGAGTTCCTCAAAGCCAGAGGAGCTTTGGCAGCTGCCAGGACAGTCCCTCAGCAAACCCCCCGTCTCCTAGCTCTCCTGCAGTGGCCTCGCAGCACCGTGAGTTCTTAGCGGGCAGTGGGGTTCCTGGAGAGCCATGCCTGCCCCAGAAAGCTGAGCAGGGACTGCTCTCGGGCCCCCTGGGTGCCAAACGTGCTGCTGAGAGCTCAGCCCCGTGCCCCGAAGCCAGTCCCATAGCGAGGACACAGTTATTGTCTCAGTAAAAGAAGGGCCATTGCTTTGCTAGCCAAGGAGAAGCACAGGACTCCTGACTGGGAGGCCATGATTCACTGACCACCACTCTCCCAGGGCCTCCACAGTTGGCTGACTCTCCTGCCCTTGGAGTGGACCAGACTGACCCCCTGGACGCCTGACATCCAAGGGTCTAAGTCCACCTAAAGAGCAACGCTGAGAGCTTCTGCAGAAGTGAAAGTGGGGACACATGGAGAGTGACCAGCCCCAGGGACCCCTCCTCAGGCTCACGGGGGGACGCGTGCGGTGTGACCTGCCCCAGGGCCTCCTCCTGTGGGAGGAGTGACTTCGTAGGACCTTACCTGCAGCTCTGCCTTGGGGACCTCTCCAGCGGGAGGGGAATGTGCAGCCCTGGGCCCGTGAGCAGGACGCGGAGCGGGGCTGGGTGCTCTCCCTGACGGTCCCTGCCTGAGAAGAATCTGCAGCGAATCTGGGGCTGGGAGGCCTGGGCCAGGGCCTGCCTTTCCCTGGACAGGGCCGCGTCTGTAGGGCGCGCCGCACTCCGCGGCCTCGGCCTGTAGCAGTGTCCACTTCTTGCTTTGAGTCCAGCCTGGCTGCTCTTCCGTTTTTATGAGGACACGTCTCTTCCGCTCCTCCTCTCTCCTGCTCCTCCCTAGCCCAGGGGAAACAGCATCCCCTTTCCCCCTCATCCTAGGCAGAGACAGAGATGAGGAGATGGAGACAGGGATAGAGAGAGAGAAAGTGCAACCTGCTCAGAGTAGAGAAGAAGCGGCAGAGAGAAAGTGGGGGGACAGGAGTGTGCGGATGGAGAAATCCCCTCTTGGTGCAGGTGCTGGGGACACAGAGCTGGTGGGAGGGACGGTTGGGCAGGGTTGGTTTCCAGCCAATCGTCTTGTTACAGTCGCACGCTTCTCCAACACTGCAGAATGTAGAGGAGCAGAGACGTCTGTTGCCAGCCATGGCCGCAATGCAGAAGCAGGACATCTGACCCAGGGTGCCTCGGCAGCAGGTGGGCAGAGGCCAGGGCTGCCTGGCACCCTCCTGTCCATAAGTCGGCTGCAGACCAGGACCAGCAGGCCAGCAGCACCACGCCCAGAAACCCCAAGGGTGCCCGAGGCTGACGGGGCCATTGTGACGCCGCCCTCCATCCTCAGGCAGACCACCCTCTTGCGGGCAGGTAGTGGAGGCAGCTCTGAGCCCCAGGTCACTTGGCTGCTCCTGCTTTCCTGTGCCTCGGGACTTTGCCCTGGTGGTGGTCAGTGTCACAGGGCGTGGCCTGCACATACAGTGCACCTGGCCTGCTTTGCTGCCCTAATCTGGGTTCCACTCAGTTTGTCCCAACATGGGAGGAGGACAAGCCTGGTGCAACCATGGGGACGCACCGGTGCTGTGATGGAGACCTCTGAGTCCCCAGGGACTCTTTTGACTCTGCATCCCCTCTGACGATGTGCCCCACCCCCCGTCCAGTTGTAAAGGTGGCGCGCACTGCGCAGGCCCTGGGGGAGGCAGAGCTGAGGCCCTCCTGTGGATGTGCAGGAGCCACAGGGCTGGCGTGGGGTGGTGCACAGGGGCATCTCCCCCACCGGTGTGGACAGCGGAAGCTGCCGGGGGCTTGGCGGGCTCTGCCCAGCTGTGCCCACCCAGCAGCCATGTCTGGACTCAGGGCCTGGGCCAGCCTCTCTCCTCTGGCTGCAGAGATGGTGTCTCAGAACATAGCAGGGCAGAAAAGGCCATTTGTGCTATAAAAAGTACTCTCCCGCAGGAGGAAGGCCGTGGCCTGAAGGCCTGCCCTGTGTCCTGCTGTCAGGACAGGAAGGTGGCCTCCCCTGCCTCCCACCCACAGCCTCCTCTGAGCGCCCGGCTCAGCACTGCCCCAGCTGACCCCAGGAACAACACCTCCCCGCGGGGCTGAGGGTGATGGGCTGTGGCCTTGTCCACGGCAGGGGCTGGATACCAGCATCCTCACCTGACCTGCATCTGTCCTCCCTCATCCCCCAAAGGCCTCTGAGACGCAGGAAGGGTGCCCTGCACCACGGTCAGTCCCACAGCCCCGCCCTCCACTCCCCCCTTGGCCTCACACAGGGGCAAGACCTAGGCCTGAGGGAATGAGGCAGGGCCACTCTGGCAGGCCGAAGCCACACTGTCACTATCACCGCCCCCAGTCGAGGCAAGGGGTCCCCACTCAGAAGAAACCCTGTCCCTTCCCTCTGTTCTCGCTGCGGGGAGGTCAGAGTATGGCCCACACCAGAGCGGTGGTCTCCCCCAGTGGGCAGGGCTGAGTCCAGGGGTAGCTCTTGTGCAGGAGAGAATGGTGTCTCCACGGCTTCCTCTCAACTGTTCAGGCATCTGCTTCTGTTGACATGGTTAGATGTCCCTGTGGACTTGGTGTTGAGAGGCAGCTTCAGTAGGGCCTGGGGCGCCTGGGTCTTCCGTGGCCAGGGTGCCTGCTCTCTGAGCACACCCAGTGCAGGTCTGAGGAGGAGGCCAGTGGCACCTGCGAGCGAGGACCAGAGCGCTGGCCCGCTCCCAGGTCACCTTGCTGCCAGGGCAGAACCACCCGGGGCTCCTCGGCCAGCAGCCTGCTCACTGTGTCCAGGCTGCAAGGGGCTTCAGGGCCTCTGGCCCCGGCCGGGACAGGCACCTGCAGCACAGGGGACGGAGACCAGCTGGTCTGGTATGAGGGGTGGGAGACTGGGCCACCTAAGGGACCCTGATCCCAGGAGGAGAGCGGGAGGGTGAAGCCGGGCGGGGCTGACTGCTGGGTTGAGTGCAGGCTCCTGCTCAGACACGAAGCCACGGCTTCCGCCACCCCACACCCTCCAGATGTGCAGGGGAGGCTCGGCGCCCAGTCCAGCTGCCGGCAGCCACCACCCACTTCCCACCAGCCTCCTGGAGCAGGGACTGCAGCAGCTCACTTCTGAGAACTGCCCAAGACTCCGCTCCTCATTTCCAAGAAAGTCCAACACGGGAATGGACACATCACCCTCACGCCATCCACCAGGACAAGAGGCTGCAGCATGAGTGGACAGGCACATCACCCTCACGCCATCCACCAGGACAAGAGGCTGCAGCATGAGGTCATGACAGAGTCCTGCCACAGGGACTCTCCCGTCCAGACCCAACCAGGCCCTTCACAGGAAGCAGGAATTAACCAAGGATGTAAAACCACAGGAGGTTTCGGGAAGCAGAGCCTCCACCGACATGTGCAGGGCCCGAGGCCACGCTTCTCGTGATGGGCAGGAAAGCGAGGGGACACAGCCAGCTCACTCTCCATCTCGACCGGCCCAGGCCTGGAGAGAGCAAGGGTGAGCTGGCCACCCAGAGGGCTCTTGGCTCTGCCGCGATCTGTGCGTGACTCTTTGCATCCACGCGGAATGACCACGACGAGTGTCCTTCCCCAGCCCCCAAAAGCACAGGATCCCCACCCCCACTTGGTCCTCACCGCCCAGTAAAGAGGTCTGGTGCTGCCCCTTCACAGACAGGAAGCCAGGCATCAGGAGGCAGGCAGGATGGCAGAACCTGAGGCAGAGGCGCCCAGGGCATCTCCCACCTGAACTGGGCATGGCCAGGGCAGTGCAGGTCACCTGGCGTCTTCCTGTTGGGACCCATCTGCTGTGGCTCCGGGCCATCCCCACAGGGGCACGGAGCAGTGACCTCCCTCCTCTGGGAGGTTGAGGCAAGTGACTTCCAGGCCAGCTCTCCTGCCTGCTTGGTGGGGAGAGCAGAGGCCCTCACCCGCAGACCTGCTCCCACCAGCTGCCACCCTGAGACTTCTCTCCTGTTCCTCTGTCCCAGCCCCAGGATGCGGCAGCCCCAGGCACCTGTGGGGAACCTGCGAGAGTTGGAAGATTTACACCCAGTGCCAGGGCTGGTGACGTGCCCAGGCTGGAAACACTGTCATGCAGTCACAGTGGCTGCTCTGCCCACCGGACCC